GTACAGGTGGTGGTGGTGGTTCAGGTTGATCGACGTGTGTGGCAGTCCGACAACACATGAGGCCCAAGCGCAGAGACACTAGCAGCACGTGAGGGCGAATGGCACGTTTTCTGACGACGGTCTCTTCAAGCAATTTGTTTCTATTATTATTTTGACATTTTGGTGTTGTTAGTTTTCTGTATCAGGTTGTGCAATACAATCTAGACATAATTGTTTTTCGGACGTTTGGGATTCGATCGTGGTTCGTTGGTTGTTGCAGTTGCTAGAGATTTCAAGACGAATAGTGGTTTTCCTAAAGTGATAAATTCGCGTCTCTCATAATTTATGAACTCAGATTGGTTCACTTTGGTATATTGGATTATCTCTGTTTAAATTTCAGTATTAGCGAGTCATTGTGTGGGGTGACAATAGACTTGTGGTTAGCGTGAAGGAGTAACATTTCTTATATTAGAAATTTAGTAATTATTTGCCATATTTTGAAGTGTTGAGTTTCTTATTGCAAGTTGGTAGCTGATTTTTTGTTTTAACTGTCATATAGTTACTGTGTGAGACTATGTTGCGTGAAAATTCGAACTTTTGTTTACATACCTTTGTGTTGCTTTGATTATTTTGTTAGAACACCTAGACTTGACCTGTACGACATTCCCTTGATCTAAGATCGTAAATCTTACGAAACCTTGGAAATCTTGAACTCGTATGTCGCAGCCGTAGGATAACTTTGTATGACCTATCTGTGCATTTGGATGTTCTATTTTTTTTATTAAAAATTTCTTCACACTTTGAAGTTGGAATTTTTAATGGGAAAAGAGATTTTTCAAATTGACGACAAAAGATTAAGGATATTTGGTCCAACAAAAGGTTTCAAAAACCATAAATAGCAAATTTCCTATAAACTTAACAGAAGCACAAAAAGAAAAATATGATAAACTTACTTACACTTCAATTATTTTCCACCTATCTGATACTATCTTGAGAAAATTTGGAAAGCTCGATTCTATCGAAGAACTTTGGGAAAAGTTGGAGGACATATATTTGCTTAAATCTACTCCTAATAAATTGTACTTGCTTGAAAGGTTTTTCAGTTTTAAAATGAATACTTCAAAAGATTTTGATGACAATTTA